GTCGGTCAAACAGGCTGAATTTCAAGTTTTGGCCCGTTTTGATCAAGTCTAATTTATAATCACATGGTTCCCTGATACTCGATAAAAATCTCAATCCAAACCAGTTTGGCAGGGGAGTCCGTGTTTACCACCATTTCTAGGGATACAGGAACGGTGGTTCCTATCCCAAATCGTGTTGTTCATTCTTGATTTCTTTAGATTTTATCATGGCTTGGCAAAAAACCAGAAAGCACAATGATGAAAAGATGAAAGTTTTATAAAAAAAATTAATCAGCCAACGGGCCGAGTAAAAGCTAGCAACGATTGTGAGATGCTCATTTCCCAAAAACCCGCAGGATATGCGATTTTTATTCGATTTTCTGGAATTCGGTTCTATAAAACGTACTCCACCTCATCATATTACTAGAAACAATATTGTTTCACAATGTAACATGTACTTGATTTTGGTTCATAAGGCTGATTTTTGATTCGTTGCATCATTCATGTCTCTTTCCTACTAAAATTTACTATTTGTATCACGTGTTTCCAAAAAAAAAAAAAAAACTAGACAACAATAAGCTATACACCTCATTACATTATCAAATTTCATACCTTACCTTCCTCCGGCCAAATGGTCGGGGCCCACGCTAGTTACTATAATTTAAAATGGCCTTAACTGTCTCGGTAGTGTCTATGGCTATTCTTTTCCTTTTATTCCCTGTTTGATTTTCATATTTTCGTTATTTATGCTATTGGAATAATTTTTGTTTGATTTAATTACTTGTCAAATTAATACTTCCATCAGTGTAATTACATTGCTCTTAATTTCCCTTTTTTAGTACATATTGGTGACTAGTATATTCGGTAATCCCGATTGGTGTGGTATATTCGGTAATCCCGATTATGTCTCATCGGTAGACTTTTATCTCTTTAGACAGAGATTTCTAGCACCATAGTCGTGCATTGTTGGTTGGTCATTTTCAGGTGCTCATATGGTATGAAAGTAATTGAAGAAAGTTTCATCAATCTATCAGGTGATAGTTCAGTCTTATTCGTTTATACAAATTTATGAGAATAATTAAGCTTTCTCTGTCGAAGATTGCTAATGTCCCTTTATTTCCTTTGTTGTGGTTTTTGTTGCAACTCGATACCGATCATCCGGCATACTCTGTTGAAGGAAATTACACTCGATGGCGGGACTTTCGTGGATATGTTGGGTTTGTGTTTTTGTTTTTGTTTTTTTTCTCGTCAGTGTCGCGTCTTTGCTCCTCGGAGCTTATTCAGAGCGGCCCAAATAGTGGCTTAACAGGCTCTTTTCATCGTAGTCTGGTTGCATACGGACTAACGTACATGTTTTGAGTCAGTTTTGTAATTGTGTCGAGTCTCTGTCCCATGCCCTTTGGGCTTGCCTTGGAAAAAAAAATATATTGACCAAACTTCAGCTTAAAAGGAAAATTACACCAATGTCAATGTGCTCAAAATAATTTGCAATAAGAATAAAGGAAAACAACGTTAAATTGATCACCAAATGGTAATTAAAGTAGGGGACTTGAAGTTGCATCCAAATTGATGGAATCTTGGTAGTTACATAAGGCAAACAGTTTAGTAGCCTATAGCTACAGTTAGGAAATAATTCTGTTAATGGGTGGGGATTGAATTACCAATTTTCGTAGAATCACGGAATCATCATGATGGGTAACGAACTTATATAAAAGCATGATGGTTAATATAGTTAGTAATACTAAATTTAATACACGTATACCCGTATAAATTTTATCCATTTAAAACTTTTGTATTTGTGTTATTGTCAAGATTTTTGATTTTTTTTTTCCGTTCATTTGATAGCGCCCGTGCTAAAACACGTATAAATTAAATTTTTAAAATTTACTATTATTTATATATTAATTTTTTTAAAAATAATTAATTTTATATATTTATGACTATTAACGTTTATTGTTTGGTAACTGTGATTGTTAACAATCAAGTAAAATAAAAAATTTCATTTTATATTAAATAACATGTTTATCCTTAATAAAAAAATTAGAGTGGTTCGAGAAATATAAAAAAACTTTGTTGATAAATATATTTCATGTGATAAATAAATAAAAGGAAGAGAAAAATTAGGAGAGAAAAAATCTCACGAATCAAGATATAGAATTTCTCTGATTATGAGAGATTTGATATCCGCAGATTTTAGAGATTTGAAATCTCTAAAGCTAGAATCCATAATACAAAAAGTAACAAAAAAACATAACTTTCTACAAAATCTACGGTTTCAATGAATCCATGTCCTGAATCCTGTTCTCCAAACGACCCCTAAGTTCTGAAACGAAACATTAAATTTCCTATAGCGCCACTTCCGCCATAGATAAGCCACTTTAGTGACAAACTTGTCATTTTTAACAGTTGTAATCGCTTCCAGGTGTCTATCTCTTTGCTGAAAGAAGAAGAGTGCAACTGGAGATGACCGGCAGCGGCTATCAATGTCTCGGAAGCGTTGGCAAAATTGAGGTTTGCTGAAGTGGTTGTCTCATAGACAATTTTGACCGACTTAACCAACCAATACGATAAAGTTGACTATCATACTCCGACCAATTGGTCAGGTCTAAAACAAGTAATGAAAAAGAGAGAAAACGCATGATATTATGTTCAAACTTTGTACCGACACTAAAAAAAAAGGATTATGATAAGATTATTTTTAACCTATAGCAAGGGTTTTAACCCTTATTACAAGCGGTAGCAAGGGTTTCGCCCCAACTCCTGCACGAACCCTCTCCAATATTCTCCTTGCTAAGTGTAGCAAAGATTTTTAGCGACCCTTAGTAAAATTCATGTGAAACGTTATATCAAGTATTTTAGACCTTTATTGATTTTGTCATTACTTTTGACATCGCCGATGGCAGCCGAGCCTCCCTGCGCGCTATTGGCGACGGTCGATCTTGGGCTTCGCTATTTGGTGCTTCGGTGGACAATCAATTACAGTATTATGAGCTAGAGACCATTAACGGGTCATTGAGAATCCCTAGAGACAAGTTGAAGATTTGGGTGAAGATTACTGACTCTCTCTGTGGGTTGTGTGCTGAAGAAGAAGAAGAGAATAGAGTTCATCTTTTCTGCCAGTGTCCCTACATAGAGAGTTTGATGACTGCAATTTTTGGGTCATTGTTCCAAGATAGGCCTCTGTTGTGGGGAGCAAATGTGGGACGCTGCCTGCAGAATTTCGCGAAAAGGAGGCTCCTGTGATATGTGTATTGTGGTGCTGGGTTATAAGTCTGGTGTGGAAAGAACGTTGTTGTCGAGTATTTAGAGGGAAGCCAAAGCAATGGAAGACGTTACTTGTGTAACTGAAGGAGTAAGTTTTTTCTTTTTTCTTTTTTCTTTGGGAAATAATGCTTTTGGTGATGATTTGAGAAGTATTCCTAGTATAGAAAGAGTATTTTGTAGTTGATTTGTTTGTATGTAGTCGAATATTGTAGGCAATTTGCCAGGTTTTTTTAGAGTTGTGGTCGATTTGACAAGCGTGCTTAATGAAATGTTAATTACCGGGAAAAAACCTTGCTATATGTCAGTGATAAAATTCAATGAAGAGAAGTTCGTAATAGGAAACAGAAGATATACTTGTTCAACGTCTAGGCATAGGAAACGGAAAATATATAAATAGTGTCTTCTCCATCCCAAAATAAAAAAATGTTACCCATGAGCCAAGTTAATGAATTGTGATCCACAATAATCAGAATGTGCAAAATCTAAAAAATGAAGAATATGAGAGAATGTGCAAAATGTATGAACGCCGTGTCTTCTCCCAACCAATATAAAAATGTTACCCATGTCCATGAGATCATATACCACTATTTTATATGCACTTTAAATGAGAAGCAAATTACACACTTTAAGTTTGCACAGACCTATCATACCTTGTGTTGTAATCAACTGTTAATATTAAGGGTTATGGAGATTCCAACACAAAATCAATTGGTCAAACCAACTCTCATACTATGTCATAAGCTAGGTTTGTTGTTGATTGCTGGTTGGATTTTTGAGCATTTAGAGTGTTTATGAAGAGCGATAATCCTCTCCTTGGCCCTTGTTATACAAATATCATCATGGTATGATCTGGATGTAGAGGTGGTAATTTTCAATCCAATCCACCAATTCAATCCACTAATCCATGAAAAATATCCACCTAATTTAATCCATTTAAATCCAATCCATTTGATCCAAATCCAATTGGATTTGTGGATTCATGGATTGATCCATAGATCCAAATGACAAATTATGGTTTGGTACTTATACTTTTGGGTTAATAGCATTTTCTGCCCCTGTACTATGACGATATAACAAACGTGCCCCTGTACTATTTTTTTGCACAAAGATGCCCTTATACTATTACGTCGTAACGGACCTGCCCTTCCGTCGTGATTTCTGTTTAATCGTCGTTAAATAGGCCTGGAAATTACCCAATTAACCCTGTTCAATGCCCTCCCCATTCCTTCCCCATCGATTCTTCCCCTTCTGAAAGAATAACTCTCGTGTCGACCAGAGAGACTGTCGACCTGACCCTCGAGCCACGACCCTCGAGTCTTCCTTCCGACTACGGCGAGGGAACCAGCGACCCTCGAGTCTACCGACGACGGCGAGGGAACCAGCGAACCCTCGATTCTTCCTTCCGACGACGGCGAATCAACCAGCGACCCTCGAGTCTACCGACGACGGCGAGGGAACCAGCGAACCCTCGAGTCTTCCTTCCGACGACGGCGAGGGAACAAGCGAACCCTCCTGGACAGCCGGGGACGGACCAAGCGCCGCGGACGGATGGGAAGAAGACGAACGATGACTGGTTGAGGGGAAGACGAACGGCGACTGGACCAAGCGCCGATGACTGGTCGTCGCCCTAGTCGGAGGAAGACGAACGGTGGTCGAAGGAGGAAGAACGCCTGGTCGTCTCCCTTCCCTTCCTGTGTTACGGAAATTGCTACCCTAATTTGGCGTAATAGGGTTAATTGGGTAATCTCCCGGAAGCGCCAAGCGGCGACCTCGAACAACAATCTCTGCTATGGCGAATCTCGCATCCCGTCGGAGCCTGGCTTCGATTCTATCACGAGCGCTCTCATCTTCTTCTCCATCCACTTCATCCCCCTCGCTATCTTCCCGTTCTCGCTTCGCTTCGGCTCTTCCCGACAAATCCTCTCCGGCGCGGCCCAAGGAGCAACCGCCCGCCCAAGGAGACGATCATGCTCGACGGCTGCGACTACGAGCACTGGTTAATCGTGATGGAGTTTCCCAACGACCCAAAACCTTCCGAGGAAGAGATGATTAATTCATATGTCAAAACCCTCGCCGCCATCGTCGGAAGGTAAAAAAAGATAGAATTGAAATCTTTCTGTCATTCTCCCCGATCCGAATCCATGTATCTTAATTTGTGTGGTTAACAGTGAGGAGGAGGCGAAGAAGAAGATTTACTCGGTTGCTACCAAGACCTACACTGGATTTGGTGCTCTGATTTCCGAAGAACTCTCCTACAAAGCTAAAGGTATACCTTTTTTTGAAATGATTTTGAAGACGGGTGAACAGGGTTAATTGGGTAATTTCCAGGCCTATTTAACGGCGATTAAACAGAAATCACGACGGAAGGGCAGGTTCGTTACGACGTAATAGTATAAGGGCATCTTTGTGCAAAAAAATAGTACAGGGGCACGTTTGTTACATCGTCATAGTACAGGGGCAGAAAATGCTATTAACCCTATACTTTTTTATATTTTACATTTTGGTACCCAAAATTTAAGTTTTTATACAAAAAATATCATTGAAAAATTACATTTTGGTACCTAAATTTTTTCATCGTGACATTTTAGTACTTAAACTTTTCACATTTTACATATTGGTCTAAGGTTGAGGATGTCATTTGGATTCATGGATAATCCACCAATCCACTTGATCCAATCCATTGGATCCACCAATCCAATCCACTAATCCATGGATCAATCCATTTGCCAACTCTATCTGGATGTGAGTTAACAGGGTAGGGTAGGTATTAACACATAAATTAAAGTAAATTATAAGAAGCTGATCTCATGCCGGAAGTATACCTCGTAAGTGGCAAGTCTTAATTAAGTTGGTTAATGATTTTTGGGGAGCAGAAAGATATTTCGATTTGGTCCCATTAATTAACGTCAAATCGGTGTTCCTGGTTTTTAGCCAGGAATGGGCCGAAATGATTCACCCACCACTTGATTAATTGGGGACGAATGCATATATCCAATTTCATGAGTTGGATGGAAATTAGTGTCTAGTAGCAGGAGTAGGTAGGAAACTAAAGGAGTTATATAATGCCTAGCCTAGCTACCTGCCATACATTATATGTCGGGCTCAGGGAAGGTTGATACCAATATTAAGGATAATTAGTAAATAATAATTATTGTGTATTTCTCCACTTCCTCCCACTACTGCTCGTCTCCTACTTCTAAGGAGAGTGGGACTTCTTTCTGTTGTACAAACCGTGTATCATCTACACAATAAATAAAAGCCAAATGAGAAAACTTGAAGCCTCATTTCAAATTTCCTGCATCCAGAGTGAAAGTAGGAAGGACATTTTAGTCTTCACAATTACTTTTTTTTATTCATTAAAAAGACACTTACTAGGATTTGAACCTTGATCACTTTAAAGAAAAGCAAAGATCATAACCAATCACACTAAGTACATTTGTTGTATCTTTTTAAATTAAAAACATATAATCGCAGAGAGGAAAAAACTCTTCCCCCATTTCAAATTCCCTGCTCTAGGAGCGTTTGTAGGAAGGGTAGAATAGGGAGTGTCAATTTTTTTTTCTTTTTTCCTTTGTGGAACGGGCCAACATACCATACACATGCGGATTTAAACGAGTCCAGGAGTGTCAATTTTTTTCTTTAAGTCCTTTTATTTCTCCGTGGTGGTAAAATATATATGAAAAGGCAAAAACAATACTCTTTTTTATTGCTACATAGGAAAAAATTTAAGAATAAACAAATGCATGGATTTTGATGGGCTAACTCCTAATAATAAAATAAAAGAGTTGAATGGGTCTGACCTACACGGGATTTGCCCATCAAGTAAAACAAATGAAATCATGGGTTCGCCATTCTAAAACAAGCTATTTTCTCTAGCATAATATATATTATGCTATTATTTTATATCTTAGTGGTTAAAATATAATGTATTTTAAAGTTATTCAATGGTTCAACCTCGACCAACCCAATTAGTCCAATTTTTATCATTTCAAATATATATTATGTAATTATTTGATATCATAATGATTAAATTATAGTGTATATTATAGGGAATCGTTTGGTTTTTGTTAGTAAAAAACTAAACAGAAAGATCTATTTGGTTATTTTTAACATTAAAACGATCCTAAACATTTTCAGTTTCCTTTCGAAATTCTATAGTTTTATTCTCGAATCAGTGATGTGCAAATGGCGAGTTGCAGTCATCTCTTTTCTTTCATTATTTTGTATTTTCAAATAGAAAGTTTAAAAGTAAAGAATAATTAGAGTTTGACATGGGTCGGTCAAACAGGCTGAATTTCAAGTTTTGGCCCGTTTTGATCAAGTCTAATTTATAATCACATGGTTCCCTGATACCCGATAAAAATCTCAATCCAAATCAGTTTGGGAGGTGAGTACGTGTTTACCACCATTTTTTAGGGATACAAGAACGGTGGTTCCTATCCCAAATCGTGTTGTTTATTCTTGATTTCTTTAGATTTTATCATGACTTGGTAAAAAAACCAGAAAGCACAATGATGACAAGATGAAAGTTTTATAAAGCAAATTAATCGGTCAACGGGCCGAGTAAAAGCTAGCAACGATTGTGAGATGCTCATTTCCCGAAAACAAGCGGGATAGGCGATTTTTTATTCGATTTTCTTGAATTCGGTTTCTATGAAACTTACTCCACCTCATCATATTACCAGAAACATTATTGTTTCATAAGGTAACATGTACTTGATTTTGGTTCATAAGGCTGGTTTTTGATTCGTTGCATCATTCATGTCTCTTTCCTACTAAAATTCACTATTTTTATCACGTGTTTCCCAAAAAAAACTATATAACAATAAGCTATACACCAGTGTCCATGAAACCGTACCGTACAGACGGTTCAACCACGAAATACCAGTATCGGAGGCTAAACCGATAGGCGGTATTTAATGGTATAACAGTTGAACTACGACTAAACCACAGTTTTACCATAAAATATCCTAACGCTGACTTTTCCGGTACAATTTCATGGACCATGCTATACACCCCATTAAATTATCAAATTTCATATCTCATCTTCCTCCAGCCAAATGGCCGGGGCTCACGCTAGTTAGCTAGAGAATCATCAATGAGATCATGTCAGTTTTTCTCACAACAATAATATCCCTATACTCTATCATGGTATCAGAGCAGGTCAAGATCAACTAGACTCGATCCATCTCTGCAATTTTATTTCACCTCTGCTCCATCTCTGCAAAATTTTTTCTTTCCCCTCCTCTGTTTCTTCTTCACCAGTATGTCGGGATCTGCCATTTCCAGCAGCTTGATAGCCTCTGACGACGCAATCGTCACGTTTAATCCTGCGGCTCAGCTGCCTCTAAAACTCACTCCAACCAATTTCAGTTCATGGAGATCCCAGCTAGAAACTCTTCTTATGGGTTTGGATCTTATTAGCTACATCGACGGCACCGGTGTCATCCCTGTTCAAACGATCACGGCAGACGACGTCACCAAACCAAATCCTGCTTATCACCGCTGGTTTCGACAAGATAAGCTCATTCTCCATGCCCTTCGATGTTCTATCTCTGAGTCTTTGTACTCATATGTCTCTGCTGCAAAAACATCCCGTGAAGCATGGTCCATTCTTGAAAAACTATATGTTGGTCGTTCTCAATCTCGGATCATTAATCTGAAAGGGAAGATGAGTCGTATAGTGAAAGGCAATCGGGATGTTGTCTCCTTCGTTAATGATCTCAAGCAAACCGCGGCAGAGCTCGCACTTGTTGATGATCCTGTTTCTGATGTGGACATGGTAGTCCATTGCCTTAGAGGCCTCGGTCCTGATTACAACTCGTTCACCGCCGCTGTTCGGGCTCGCGGCTCCACTGTTACAATTGAAGATCTACTGGACTCCCTCGTTGAGTACGAGGCTGATTTGAAGGAACAATCGCGGCTATCCTCTGTTCCCACTGCCTTTGTTACTCAGGAGGCCTCTCGCAGAGGTGGTGGCGGCGGCTCCGCTTCTTCTCGGCTGCGTCACAATTCTCTGCAGCAGCAAGGGTTTTCAGAGGGCCATTATTCACAGGCCCCTTCGGCACAACAGAGCCGCCCAATTCCTTTGCCTTCTGACAGCCCAGGCGGATCACTTAATTCGGCCTGTCCCCGTCGGGCCCAAATCACCTGTCAATATTGTGACAGAACTGGGCACTCTGTTAAACAATGCTTCAAGTTGTTCCCTCAAGCCCGCCAGGCCTTCCAAGCCCGCCAGGCCCAAGCTCACTCCACTCATATGGGCTCTGCTGCTAGTCCATCTTCTTCAGGTCCATGGTTATTGGACTCTGCTGCTAGTCACCATGTGACCTCTGATTTGGGAAATCTTTCCCTATATTCTGATTACACCGGTCCAGATGAGATTTTAGTTGGCGACGGTTCAGGTTTGGCTATCTCTCACATTGGCTCCTCGTCAATTACTACTGGCTCGCATAATTTGTTCTTGCGTGATATTTTATGTGTTCCCACTATCAAGAAGCATCTAATTTTGGTGGCCAAATTATGTCAAACTAATCCTGTATCGGTGGAATTTTTTGCCTCTCATTTTGTTGTGAAGGATCTTCGCACGGGGGCGCTACTGCTGAGGGGGGAAAACAACGGTGATGTGTATGAACTGCCTCGAGAGGTTAAAGATGTTCGATTGGCTCTTGTCACTACTCGGACGACACCTACATCTTGGCATGCTCGACTTGGTCATCCGTCTCAACAAAATCTTTCCAGTCTCATTCGGTCTTTTTCTCTTCCAGTTTCCTCATCGGTCTCTCACTTTGCTTGTGATGCTTGTCTCTCCAATAAAAGCCACAAACTTCCCTTTTCTGTTTCGACATTATCCAGTTCTCGGCCTTTTGATTTGTTATATACTGATGTTTGGGGCCCTGCTCCTGGTACGTCTATTGATGGATATCGTTATTATTTGATTATCATTGATCATTTTTCGCGATATACATGGTATTATCCTCTTCGCAATAAATCTGACGTTCTTCATATTTTTCTCTCCTTTACAAAAATGGTTGAAAATTTTTTCTCTACTACTATTCGTCAAATTTATACTGATGGTGGTGGTGAATTTCAAAAATTACGGTCTGATTTACTTGCTAATGGTATTACTCATCTGCTTACTCCACCTCATACCCCTGAACACAACGGTCTTGCTGAGCGAAAACACCGTCACTTGGTCGAAACTGGTATTACACTTCTTCATCATGCCCGTCTTCCCACACAATTTTGGTCCTATGCCTTTTCCACTGCTATCTACCTCATA